AAGGGCAGGCTATGGCGAGGCACCTTCACAGCAGCTGACCTGAAAGAGACGGGTCAGTGCCCAGAGCTAAAAGCTCTCACGCAGCTTTGAAAACTGAGTCAGACAGCAGCCTCCAGAAAAACTTCCAAGGATTTGGCACATGCATTTCTTACATGCTTTCAAAGTCTCACTCATCAGCATCAGAAGTCTGGAAACAGACTGAAGAAATGTGTTCAGAACTCTTCCTCCTCCAGCACTACACCTTAATCTCAGTCCGCTTCTTCTCTTCACCCGCTATTTCAGAGTTACAAAGTTTTGATAAGTACAGGTTCATAAATGTAGCAGTAGTACACTAAACACCCCTTTTGCATGTGTGATTGTAAGAATTCCTTGTTCAGAACACAGTCATTGTACCTACCACTGGGGGTTTTTTTAACCACTGTCAAAAAAACCCTAGTTAATTCTTTAAACCCATTCAAGCCTTTTAATGTTTCCCTCTGAGTATTTTTTCCAGCTTTTTTGTTACCAGCATTGAAAAGATTGCCTGAAATAATCACGATCAAAGAGACATCACCAATTTTTAGCAAAATCTCTTGTTTTATTGTCCTTTTGATAACACTTGTTAGTATCTTTTGCAACAAAAATTTTGGGAAAGCTAGGCAAGATCACACTACTCAGCACAATAGCAAGAAGGATGCAGTTTGCATTTTTACCAAACTGTCCTAAGCCATTTTCCACAGAGCTTTTGCTAGAAGCAGTACAGACTTACAGCAGTTGTACACCAGTGTTATGAAAGAATATCTGAGGGAAGTCAGCCTGGTTGTACAAAGAGGGCACTGCTCCTCCACAAGTGCATGGGAAACCCAGTCATCAAATTTCACTGTGCTGCACTTTAATCCTAGAACTTCCAGAACTTATCACAGGTGTCACACTTAAGACCTTTCCTTCTTCCATCAGCAGAAAAAAAAAAACAAACCACCCCAGAATAACCACCCACACCAATACAAATACCACCCAGCTTCTCATTGTTTAACTTACACACTAGGCAAAGCTGCTCTTTACCCAATAGCCACATAACTTTTATGTTTGCTTTGCTCTGGCCTTTTTTTTTTTTTCATTTTTTTTTTTAACCTCACAAGATATTCAGTCTTGTGAAAGTCTCCAACTGCTGGAGTGGCTGGAAAAAGTCCACTGAGCTATTCAATCACTGTTCACGGAAAAATAATCTCTTTCCCAGGCCATGAAATGTATTGTGGTTTAATGCAGTAATTTCTTCTTAATTCATTATAGAGAAGAACAAATAAAAGTAATAGCACAGGCTTCATAGCATCTTAGTCTTGCCTGGGACCAAAGCTGATTAAAACAGAAATCTGAAGCAGATGCTCCAAAAAGAGGTAGAACAAAACTTTTCAAACAAAAATTCAGGTAAAATCTTTTCTGTTTGAACATATATGTCTATGGGTCTTTTAACTTCATGAAATGGCACAAAGAAATGTAATATTTTTTCTACTACTATGTCAGTGTTCAGCTGGTAATTTTAAGATCAGCAATTCAAAGTAGTTGAATCCTGTTGGCAAACAGCTTCAGACCACCAGAAGCAGGAGGAGAGTGTGTTTAAGGTGAAGGATTCTGTCTGGACCTGGAGAAGTCTGGAAAACTGAAGGTCTGTTTCTGCAGTGGCCAATATGACCAAAGGAAAATAGCTGCCTAAACCAATCAGCTTCAGTAGACTACACAAGCATTTTTCTTACATAAGAATTTTAAAAGGCACCTACTTAAAAAGTGCCATCTTCATTTTTCATCTTCATTTAGGATATAAATCTAATCCTGTATTTCTGCTGGGAATTAATTTGATTCAATATGGTTCTTCTCGTGTTGGCACCCAGCAAGTCTAAGGATCCACCACCACCCAGCAACAAGCAACAAGTATAAAGTGCCTGGTTCAAAAGTCTGCTCTCTCCTCACAAAGGATCTAACTGTATCACTCATCACAGCTATCTATTCTCCATGCCTGTCCTCCTCCTCTTGCATCCTCAGAAACAGGATGGCAGAACTGCAAGATTAAGGATAAGTCACAAGCCTGACAGTTCCCAGTTTGATTTCCTCTCATTCTCTGAGAGGGAATGTACTAGTGCTTTGTGGGGGCTCCCATGGTGGTTTTTTTAGGAAGTAGTGAGAAGTGCCTTGAGCCCAAGAGCCAAGGGAAGTAGGCAATCTGTAAACCTATAAATTTTCCCTTTTATCCAGGAACTGTTTATTTCCAGGCTGACCAAACAGTTGCCAAGTGACCTCCTCTCACCTGGCACTGAATCCCTTATTCCAGTTTGCAGTGTCCTTGTTCAAATTTCAGTAAAAGGAATGGCAGTAATCATTACAGGGCTCCTAAGCCTACTGGTGTTTCACAAGGTGAAAAGCTTCCTTTAAAGACAGAAGCCAGTCTAATAAATGGGTCATTATTTCTGAAGTCTCTGTAAGGAAGCTAACACTGCCCTTTACAAATATTAAGGTAGATGTCATGCATTTAGCTCACTACAGTGAATGTTCCAGATGCCAAGGGAAGTCTGAATTCAGAAAATAACTTGCATTTTGGCAGCTGGTAAGGCAGACGAGCCCAGTGAGCAAAAGCTCATGTTCCAAAGAGTAGGAACTGTGTTACGTGCACTTCCATCTGGGAAATCTGTCCTAGAAATCCCAGCTGAAACCCAAAATACCATCTTTCCTCATCTTCCCTGATCTAAGAACACTGGCCAAGTTTCCTACATTCACCATGATTCAGCCTTTAAAAAAAAAAAAAAAGGCAGTGTGGTATAATCAAATTGTAAATGCAGGCTCATTTTCTAGACCCACTTCAAAAGAGCAACCAAAATTATGGTTCTGAAGATCAGTTTAGCCCTGGCCAACATTTCTGCCAGACACACAAAGCTACCCATGCATAATTTTGGTACTTACCCATAATGCCTTCAATAAACCTGATATTTCAGGCAGTTTAGAGCTTTACAGCACAGTTCTCCCTTTCAGTCAATCTTCAGGCAATGTGGCTTGAAAAATGGAATGCTACTAAAGGCATTATTTCAGGTAGGCAGAAAAGAGATCTTGATCCTTTGAGGCTATTAGAACTATACTTTAAATAAGACAGTCAATCCAAATCAGGCTAATTCCAATTTATTTCCTTGAGAGGCAAGCTTTCTCTGCAGTTCCAGTTCCAAACCAGTTCCAGGATGGGAGGCAAACAGAACCAATAGCAGGGATGTGTGCCATGGTCAGTGCTGGCACTATCACAGTGACTGACAAGATGATGCTCATATTCACTAATCTCTAGGCTGCTACACAGGGGCAAAAACCCTGCCTCCTAAAGACATCACCTAGAGGCATGTGTGATTAGCATCACAGATTTAGTCCTTCACAGGGGGAAAAGAAATATGCACCCTGAGCCTGATAACAGACGACAACCTCCTGGAACACTAAATTCCCCATTCACTGTGCCAGCACAGCCTTTATGTTTTGCATCACACAATATTAATTTTAGCAAATGACTGCTTGTTCTCATGCAATGTCACAGCATAAAACAAGAACCAATTCACTACCCTAATAAAAGATTTGCCTTCATTTTATGAGAAGTCATTTCTGTTCAAAGTACAAACTAAAAACTATTTAAAAGATAAGAACAAATATACCAACCTGAGATGGTGCTATTCTGTAACCTTCATTTAAATTTAAAAACCACTACTTTTCTAAAACTGGAGTTAAGATTCACAAAAGACTTTTAGAATACTAAAGGCCAACCAAATTCTTACTTCAGTTCCCTAAGAAAGGGGAACACGTTGGCCAAGGTCACAAGTGGCAAACTGAAGTTACGCTGCCTGCTTTATCACAGGGGAGCAAAGGCTTCATTATCCCTTAGTAACCCTAAACAGAAAACTGCACCTGGCATTTGCATTACAGGCTTTAAAAGATATGAAAACTTTATTACTGAGTAGACACAAACCACGACAAAGTCTCAAGGAAGGCAATCTTTGTGGCAAGCTCATATTACTGGTGAAGGTGAGTTTTAGAGGTCACGACAGACAGGACCAAGAGAGCCTCTATCACGGCCCCAGGAAAAAAGGCAATTTATGTGCCTGACCCGCCTGTTTCTTCAGGCGTCCTAGCTCCCCATACAGAGAGGCTGGCATCTTTGTCACCCAGGGGCCTCTGTTTGTATTAAAAGGAGGATTTTTGAAGCAAAGTAGCCAAAAGACAGCTCACTCACACAACAAGGAGTCACCTTGTGCTACCGCATGCCAGTTAGGGGAAGTAATACAAGACGAGGGAAAGAAAAATGCGTGCCCCGAGGAAAGACCTTTTATTTCACCGTTCGGGCCCGCGCCCTCGGGCTCTCTGCCCTGCCAGGTCCGGGGCTCTGACAGCGACTCCAGCCCACCGCAGCGGGGTCCGGGCACACGGGGAGGCGGCGGCGCCAGGCCGCGTCCCCGCCGCCCCGTTCACCTTGTACTCACCTTGAGGGCCGGCCGGGCCCGGTGGCGGGAGACGTCCTGCCCCAGGGCCCGAGCAGCGGCCACGCCGCCGCCGCCAAAGCCGCGGCCGCCCCGCCATCGCCATGGAAACAGGGCGTGGGGCCGCACCGGGGACACGGTGACCTACACGCGGAGGCGGGGACGGCCCGACCCCGAGGCCGCGGGCGAGCGGCCGCCCTGGTGGCGGCCCAGCGGGCAGTGATCTTGTCCCTGCCGCAATCCCCGCCGCCCGTCCCGCCCGCTGCCTGCCCCGCCCGCCGCCGCCGCTCACCCTCAGCCGAGCCGCCAGCACGCAGTACGGCGCCATTTTGTTCACTGACAAAGATGGAGTCGCGCCGCGATGGCGTCACGCGGCCCCTTTGACATCTCCGGCGCGCGCGGGGGGGCGTGGCCGCGCGGGTCCTGGCAGGGAGACACCCGCGACACGGGAGGGTCCTCGGCTGCCGCGAGGGGCTCCTCTGGGCGGGGGGAGGCTGTGAGATGGGGTGGCTTTAGCGGGAGGGTTTATCTCGGCATCTCTCGGCGTTTTCCCGCTCAAGGGAGGCGCTTTGGCAGACGCTGCTCTCACCCCGGCCAGGACCCGAGGGCGGCGCGGCGGATAAGGGCTCCGCGGGGCCGCAGCAGCAGTAGCGCCGGGCGGGTATCGCCTCGCTATGGCCAAGCACCACCCGGACCTCATCTTCTGCCGCAAGCAGGCGGGCGTCGGTGGGTCCCGGAGGATGGGGGGATGAGGATGGGAGGATCCCTTCGCCCCTTTTCCCGCCGCGGGGCGGGCTGCGGGCGCGCGCGCGTTACCGGCCGTGGGGCTCGCGCGCGGCCGTTAGGCCCGGCGGGGGAGGGAGGGGCGGCGCGCGCCACCCGCTCCTCCGTCCCTCCCTCCCTCCTTCCCTCCCTCCCTCTTTTGTTTTTCCTTTTTTTTTTTTTTTTTTTTTTTCTTTTTTTTTTTTTTTTTTTTTTTTTTTTTTCCGGTGCCCCGCCATGCGTTCTGGATCCAGCAGCATTTGGGAGCATCTTTCTGGCTGCGAGGCAAAAGTTATCTTCCGGGTTATTCCTGTAATGCAGATAGCGGGGTTTAGCCTTGCCGCGGCTGAGTCAGAACTTGGGTCAAGGTTCAAAGAACTCTTAGACGAGATTAGAAGTTGAGGTGTCCCTTCCAGGCTTTTGTCACTCCTCGGAAAGGCAAATTTAACGAGCAGCCGTCTGCAAGATCCATAAACACAAAGCATTCAGCTGCGCTGTCCGTAGGAAATTCCTTTTTAGAATAGTCCGTGCTTCTCACCATCTGTCTGTGTTGAAAATCATGTCCTGACAAACCCCTTGCCTCTCAGACTTCAGACAAATCGATATTTAGTCTTTGTGGATGTGCACATCTAGTCTTTGAAACTATATTACACTTAGCCAAGTTCCTAACATCATTGTTGTGAGTGCCCCAGACAAGTGACAAGATTTTTAAGATACATTTAATGTATCTTAAATCTTCATTTCTAAAGAAAATAAGGTATTTGGACTGCTTTAAACAAACGTTTGATTTTGGTTTTTATCCCCCCACTAAACCCAGCGTAAAAGCTGTGCCAAGACTCCTGTACAACATTTCCTTCAGTCAGACACACTGGCTGTGTTTGGAATGGAATGATGAATGTAGTTTTTCTTACTGCAGAGGGGTGTCATTGTGCATTCATAGTGCATCTCTGGTCCTGGTAAATCTCTCCAGGAGGATATATATGTATTGTTTATCATGAATGTTTGTATTTATGCTCAAACTGTTTCTATAGTTTAACCTTTAATTTTTTTAAGGAATGCTCATTGCAGTAGATAATTATTTGACATTCAAGCTTGTACTTAGATTTTTCTCCTGCCTCAAATAATTTTTTTCTTTTTTTTTCCCCCCAGCAATTGGAAGACTGTGTGAAAAATGTAAGTATAGCATCCACATTTAGTTGCTTGAGAACATGGTGTTGTGGTTAGAGCATGCAGTTTGGATTTGAAGGTTGGAATCTATTTTTGCTTTAACCCCAAACTTAATGTCACTCTTTGAGAAGGGAGCAATTACCTTAACATTGCAAGTGTAGCTCAAGGAATACTTAAAAAGTTGCAAGCTCAGACAGACTCTGGCACAAACCCAGTTCTAGAGTACCTGCTGCCAGCATTTCTAGTGGCTGAGGCTGCAGTGACTGCTTCATTGGATCCTTGTAACCTGTAATACCCAAATATCATCCTGATCCTTTTAAAGCAGGGCAAGAAGTTTGAACAACAAACAACGTGAGTAGTTTGTGACTCAAAAATAGTGTGAGAATAAGTAAAGTGGGAGAAGGACAGTCTGAAGCAAGAAGATAATTTTCAAGAGCACCTGACAGTGAAACAGATTGCCATTGGCAGCAGCTGAGGGCTGTCACGCCAGAGATTTAAGAGCAGGTTAGGCAAGCTGTTTGTGGGAGTCAGGATTAGATACCTTGGGAACTGGTAATAGGATATGAAGCCTTTCATCCGTAGGTCAGTGTTTTGGTTAAGGTCCAGCTCAGCAGAAACTGTCACTGGCATTGATGGCTCCTTGCCTGTATGATATCAGTACTTGAATTTCACTCAGATCCTTGTGAGAGCGCAAGAGCAACTTTTGTGAAATGGCCGCTTATGCCAGTTTGCCCTTCCTTTGGCCTTGTCACAGATGAAGGATTAAAGGGACCATGAGTACACTCTCTTATCTCTTTGAGCATAGTAACTCCAGACTTTTGTTGATGTGGCACTGTGGGAGAAGCTTACACTGCTCTTTCTGTGGAGGTAAGGACTTTAGTCCTGTCAGTCTGGCTTGTTTTCTTTTGCAAAGTCAGGAAAAGTTCTAGAGTAAAAGTAGTGGTACAAACTGAGCAAGCCTTGGCTAATCACAAAGTAGTTGCCCAAGGAATTTTGGGTTTCCTCTCTGACTGTGAATGAATAACTACATTTAAAAAAACCCCTCAAACATTGCAGGCCACGACCCTTGTTCCTCTCGAGCCTGAAGTTGTGCCCTGTGCCTGCAAGGCACGTTTCTGCCGGTCAGCTGTGCTGTCTTTGAGCGTACAGGGACGTGATTTGAGCAGGAAGCTTTTCCTGTGCCGTGGGGGTGCAGAAGGGCCGTTCTGTAACGGGGGCTGCTGTGCTCGCAGGCGACGGCAAGTGCGTGATCTGCGACTCGTACGTGCGGCCCTGCACCCTGGTGCGCATCTGCGACGAGTGCAACTACGGCTCCTACCAGGGCCGCTGTGTCATCTGCGGCGGGCCCGGCGTGTCCGACGCCTACTACTGCAAGGAGTGCACCATCCAGGAGAAAGATGTAAGTTGCCATCCCAGCTCCACAGTAGTCATGCTTACCTTTAAGGGGCTTGGAGCTGCTGAAATTAGTGCTGGAGCGATTGCCGTTCGTTTGCGATACCTGAAAGCTTTATTCCGCTGTTGATAGGTCTCTGTGTTTGCAAAGCATTTTGAGGTATCGTAACTCTCTTCGTTCTAAGGATCTCCGAGTGTTTTGCACAGTCACAGTTCATTGCCTCCACACGCTGCTCATTACCACTTCAGGTTGTTATCTCAGTACAGCTCCAGCCTAGGTTTCACCAGGGTCAGAAACACTGCAGACACCGCAAGGCAGTGGCAGAGGCAGCTCCTCCCTAGAAATCCATTATGAGCCACTGATTAAGAACACATATGGTACTATAAGGCCTGTGGAATCAAAACCTTTGTTTTCCTTTGAATAACAAGGTAATGTTGGTCCTTAGTGTCCAGTGCCTCTATTGGTAATTGTGTTTCACAAGTTTGATGCTTCTTGTATAATTTCAATGGGATACAATGTATATTTTCATTCTCTTCTCTGGACTTGTCTATGTTGTAGATATTTCTCTTTCTGCTAATGCTTTCTGGTGTAATGGTCCCTTTTGTCTGTAGCCAGAGCTATCATCTTTTTACAATGTTGCAGTGAAAGCCGTTGCACATGGGAAATGAGGCAGCTGTTCACCCCTTGTAAGGCTTTTGTTAATAATCAAACACAATGAGTGCAGAACATGAACTGCAACAGAGCATTAGAAAGACCTTACAGGACAACAAGAACACGATGTTTACAGTTCTGCTGTCCCAGAATGTAGGCCTGGTAGCTGTGAGAGTATCTGTTAAAAGTTGTTTGGTGCTTTGCAAATTTCATTTCCTACACACCCTAATGACTGTGAAGAACGTGCTAAGAGGGTGGTTCAAACTGATTTACAGGAGTGTCCTCAGCTGAGTGAGTTGCTGCTTTAATTCTCTCTAGTGCCTGTTTTCTCTAGAGGCCTGCAGCCAAATCCAGAACAGGAGCAGGTCCTCCTTTGAGTTTAGTCATTAGATCTAACAGGACCATAATCATTCTCTGTATCTAAATATGGATATAAGTACTTTGGTGGGGGTGCTGCCTCCTACTTTATAAATGCTGTGAGAAACAGTAGCTTTGTTCACTTGCCTTTGGAATGAGGATGCCTGACTTTATGAGTCATGAGTAAAATAGGCTTGGTTTTAGTTTTATCAATTCATAGGGGTTCCCAAGAGGTGTTTTGCATAACCTAAGATTACCTGTATCTAATGTTTGGTTCCAGTGTGAAGTAACCAGCTGCTCTGTCAGGGAGGACTGTAGAAAAAGTAGAGCTAGAGAAGAATAAAATGTCTGGAGTACTTTGACACCTGGGTGAATGCTCCTGTGAGTGAAGAAGGTTGCTCTGTAGCAGAAAACTCAGATGTTACGTATTATTGCAGATGTGAAGTTGCAGATCTAAAACAGCAAATCATTTAACATGATTTGTTGCAGGATTGAAGAATGCTTGCACAAGCATAGGGAGCCCAGAAGGAGAACAATTAAGTGTGCTGCTGCCTGTCACAATTACGGTATCTGGTGCTGATGTGAATAAGAAAACCAGATGGGCAGAGCTCTGTACCTGAAGCTCTGTACCTGTACCCAAGGCTTCAGCCACTTCAGCCACAGCACTTTATCATCCTCAGAGAAAGACTGGAAAAGATAGTGAAGCAAGAAAGCAAATAAAATGGATAGCAAAGATGGAATGCTATTGGGCACAAAGCAAAGGACCTGGTTACTCTTGGTTCATTTATTCTGGTGGAGGAAGGAATGAGGTATTGTTTCAGCCTTGATCTGTGGGTAAGGGCCTGAATCCCACCTTGTCACCCAGCACATCTGTGAGTCGCAAATAGTAATCTTTTCTTGGAGAAAGGAGGGTGCTCATGAGCTGTGTCCTTAGGAGGAGGTGGGAGAATGAACAGAGCCCTGCAATAAGGCTGTCAAGATTTGAACAGGCTCCATGGATTGTGGGAGGCAAGTCTTGGAGGAGTCCTACTATTGAGGTTCAAAATGAACTAAGGAGACGTAGCTAGAAATGGGTTGTGGCAGGTGGATGGGGGAGGGATGATTTCTGTTCCCCACCTCTCCTGTCATTCCTGTCGTGCAGATCCTCCCCACCAGATTGTCTCTCTGGTATGGGAGCCAGGCAGCTTGGGTGCAGATTCTACAGCATCTGACATCTGCCCAGGGGCTTTCTAAATGTAATGCACTCAGGCTTGCACTTCAGCCAAAGACACGTGTTCCTCTGCCTGCTGGGTCCCTCACAACTGCTGTGGCCAGCCATAAGTTTTGCCCTAAGGAATTATGCAGATGCTGGGTTCAGGTGGCCCATGGGCAAATGTTCCCAGGTATACCAAGAGGGCATTCCTGATTTGGTTTTGCATCTACACCTCTCAGGAGGGTCTCCCCTACTCCCCTTGCTTTTCTTGAGGCTTTTTTCTCACCATCTACTGGAATTCAGGTACAAGAACTTTTCTATGTAGCTGCTGTGAGTAGCTGACCCTACACCCTCTGCAGTAATCGATCCAGGATCCAAGAAATCTGAGATTCAGTTCTGCTGTCACTGCTGAGGGGTTCCTAAACACAAGAATGGTTTGGTGACATCTAGAGCAGCAAGATTCTTCTGGCTAAGGAGGGAAAAGGTTATTCCTCTGGGCCCTAGAGGTCCTGCATATTCTGATTTAGAAAGAACTCCGTCTTGAGGCACAGCACGTCCTTTTCATTAAATGGCTGATGTTTTATGAGCTGTTTTCCATTTCGGTCCTGAGGGAGACCATGTCCTACAGCAATGCTGAAGGGACATCCATGTTGGTCTCTGTTCCACTGTCTTACTGGTAACCAACACTGGAGAGCAATTTGTCTGTACAGGTGTTTGAAATGTGTTGAGGACAGGGCAAGGAGTGTGGGAACTGAGAACCTACTACAGCTATGATGTTGTTCTGTGTTTGCCCATTTCCTAACTTGCATTTTCTTTTCTTACAGAGAGATGGTTGCCCTAAGATTGTCAACCTGGGCAGTTCCAAGACAGATCTTTTCTATGAAAGGAAAAAATATGGCTTCAAGAAGAGGTGATCCTATTCATATGTGGCTACCTCCTGTTGGGTTGGCAAGAGGGTCTTGGAACATCTCTGGACTTTGCTCTTACTGAAAACTGGTTGATTTTTTTCTAAAGCAATACAAATTCAGTAATATACTTGGGGTTGGAGAAATAAGAGACTGAGTGGGGACTAAAATGTGATGAGAACCAATGATGAGAGAGGGCAAATGAAGATTACTGTCTTTTGCTTTTGCAGAAGCTCTGCTAGTAGTTGCCCCAACTATACAAAGCAGAGTGGACAAGCACTTACACATAGAAGGAGCCATGTAAAAATGGAAAGTGCTGTTTTTAGTGTGGAGAAACACCTTGAGGTTGTACTTACTGGGCCTCCTCTCAATTGTTTGAAATTGCCCCATCCATGAGTGTTGAAGAACAAAACACCAATCTGCTCCCCTCCTCCCTTCCTCCAGTATATTTCCATGCTCCCCTGTTTTTAAGGAATCTGCTCATGGCTGGTACCTTCCCAGGGAGAGCACAGCTGTTCCATGTTTCCTTTTACAGATAAATCCAAGGCCATTTCTTGTAACCATTTCTGTAGGATGCATACCAATAAAGCTTTTGCTTTTGGGTTTTTATTTTTGGTACAACAAGGATTTCTATTTGGTTCATTCTGTGCCTAGCCTCTCTGGAGCTTTCTGAGGACATGGAGGCTTAGCCCAGCTAGCACTTCACAATGGCTTATCTGGTTTCTGACAGTGTCTGCTTGTGGCCACGTGGCCTTGCCACAAGGAGCTTCAGGGAATGGCTGTTGCTTTTGTCTGCCTGTGATCCCAGCCAGCGATCATTTTGTCCCGTAGCACGAGGATCGCTGAGCTCGTAACCCTTATCCCGGCTAATGCGGCCGTGGGTGTTGTTTCACCGTGCAAACATCCAATCCCTTTCTAAAACCTACTAAGCTGTTTGACTCGCCGTCCTGTTCTTGTGAATAAGTTAAAGCCTTCCCTGCCGTAACGGGAAACCGACCATTGTGTTCTGGGCTATTGGCCGTGCGCGCTGCAAACCAGAGGCTGCTTGTCTGTCAAATACCAGTAGAGACTAAAAGCAGTCTGTTGGCTCAGCAAAGGTCTGGGAACAGGCGCCTTTGTGCAGAGGCAGAACCCAGCTCCCCGTGGGTGTGTGCTCCTCAGGTGGTCAAATCAGGGTCCTGCTCAGGGTGCCCTGCGGGCCTTCAAGCGCCTGTAGTCTGAGCAGAGCGTGCGCTACGCTAACACAGTTGTCTTTGTGCAGCTTTGGGGTGCAGAGCCCCAAAACCTTCTTTTGTTTTGTGCCCCTTCCAGGATTTCAGCTATTCCCTTGGGGCTAGTACCAATTCTTCTAATTACTCCTTGGCTTAAATACCTCTTCTACCTGCTGCAGCCATTTGGATAAAAGTGTAAAGCGCACAAGTTGTGATTATCCTGCCCTCAAAAGCAATTTTTCCCTGCTGCAGCTGGCTGTATCTGTCACTGGCCCTGCAGGTATCTCAGCTGCTCCTCCCTCTCCTGCCCCCAGCTATTAGTTATGTCAGGTTTCTCTTCCAAGCTTTTTGCAGTTCTGAGAGTATTAGTATGTCTTTTTCCCTACGTAGCTTCTGATGGATGCCATTTGCCAAGATGTTCAGAGCAATCTAGCTCATTGGTTACAGCAAACCTATTCTCCCAAAGCAGTTCTATGGGAATAAGCAACTGCCTCTGCAGCCCAGGAAGTCCATGTCAGACCTGTTATCGGCCATTTTAAATTCTGTGTTTCTTTAAAAGCAGGCCATGACATGCAGATTTGTTGTACCTGGAACTTTATCGCTTCAACCAGAATTTATCACTTACCCTCAGTCAGGCTGCCCGCATTATCTCGCTAGGAATGCAGAAGGTTTGTACGCACTTTTTTCCTTTCCCAGAAATTTGAAAGATGACAAAGTTTTTCAGTAAAGGTGGAGGGAAATGAAGCAAGGAATTATTTTTTGTCTCAGAACCAATACACCCTGGTGAGCTAATTTTAGAGCACCCCTTGTTCCTGATCGTTTAGCGGCTCAGCCAGGCAGGGCTTGCTGTGGAGGTACGAGTGTCCCCATCCCTTCCCCCATCCCCAAAAACAGCTGAACATACTCACTTTCTTGGCACTCCCGATGCCCTCACGCTGACTGCTGGATATATTGGTCTGTATTCTGAGAGTTAAGCTGCCATTTCTAGTTGTTCTGAGTCACTGGGCAGGTGGAGAGAGGGAGGGACAGGCTTTTTCCCCTTTGCCTTGTTTGCTCAGACAGCTCTGGGGAGCGTGCCAAATGCTGCTGGTGCTCGGATCAGTTCAGTGCCGCTGCCTTTCTGGTACTTTCAGAGCATGGATGGGACATTGCCCTGAAGCTGCTAATTCAGACAAGGGCAATGGACACATTCGTGTAGCCCAGAAAAACATGACCTTGCTTGGTAATGATTTCTGTGCACCAGTAGATGATACCTAGGCAGGGCCTCTAGAAAAGTGTATTATTTTTCACCTAAATAGATTTTAAAGTATTGTCCAGGAGAAGGAGATCAGAACACATGCTAAAAGGGTAAGCTTCCCCGCAGGGAAAAAATGAGACAAGACACATCCTGCTGCTGTGTGCAGGCCAGGCTTTGGAAGGGCTTCATCCATCCACGGAGTTTTATGCAGCCAGATTCAGGGGCTCCCTGGCTGCCAGCTGCCAGGGAGTGTGGCAACAGCAGGGAAGGGTGGGAGAGACGGGGACAGCTTTGTCAAGGTGGCAGCTGAAACCCCGTGGTGCTGTCTTCAAATCCTAATGCATGGAGCTAAATGTATCTTCCTGCCGTTGCTTTTCTAGGTAGTGCCATTTTTTCATTTTTTATTAAAATGTTGCATAAGAAGTAAAAAAAAAAAACCCTCCTTCAATTTTAAATATTTACATTGAAGGAGAGAACGTAGGACCTCTTGGCCTATTAAGAAATGAGGCTCTGTTGCCAGTACTAACAAGGCATTGCTGTGTTCTGAAATGTAGGTGTTCCCTGTTACACACCCCTTCAGACCAGCTGCCAGCCACAGCTACAGCTGAGCTCAGCACATAGCTCTGTAACGTAGATCCACTTCCTTGAGCCACCTAGACCTCGTCTTGACAAAGCCCTCGAGCCCCAAGCATTGCTTCTCTTTAAAAAGAGACAGAACAAAAAGAAAAGGTAGGCGGAGGTTTGGAATCTGCCTGCGAGCTTTTCCTGGGAGCTGCATGGACAAAATCTCACTTCTGAAACCTCATCTGCACAGAAGCTGTTATTTTCTCATTACAGACATCAGCCGGAGATGTTTGCCTCTTTCAATAGCAGGAAAGAATTTTTCATTTCCTTGGGGTTGTCATGTGAATTGAATGTACAGAGGATTCAGGGTATGGCGATATTAATTATGTCCAATTATAACCTGACTCCCCTTCCTTGGCATTAAATAACCCAACCAAACGAGCTCTGTCCCAGTGGCTTGGCAATGGCTCCCCTCCCCAGGCACACGTGACACGGGAGCTTTGCTTTGACTTCATAGCCAAATGGCTGAGAATGCAGGAGCAGATAGTGTGACAGAATTCCTCTGCCTGCATGTGTACGAGGGCCACGCCGGAATTAAGGGAGCACGGTCAAGGCACAGGTATTTTAAAGAGCCCTAATACCCGACAGCCTCTTACTAACACCTTATTAAAACAATAACAGGATTTTAGAAATGTAATTGCCTTTTTTTGCTTAACGATGCTAAAAATAGCTCAGTCATTTTAATTTCCTGATCTCTGGCTGACAGTATGATTTTGCTTCCAGCAAAGCAAGGGAATAATTGAAAAAAAACAAGAAACAACAACAACAAAAAAAAGGTGTTCTTTTGTAAGTAAATTCCTTTTAAAATAGGAGTGACAAAAATAAGGCTGCTCATAATAGCTCTCATAAATCTTCCTCTTCTCTTTCCCTGCAGAAAATAAAACAACTTCAAAAGTTATTAGTTGGTTTTTTGGGGTTTTTTTTGGTTGGTTTTGGTTTTTTTTTCTGTAATCAGTGGGAAAATTAGCAAGGCTGGCTGCTGTGGTTGGGAAGGAACATTAATGGATTTCTTAACACATGGCGTTGGCTGGCCTCAAAAGAAATGCTCTTCTGTGGCAAAGGCAGTACTGAGGTAAAGTGTTCCTGAATGAGAGAGGAGGACAAACCAAACCCAGAAGGCTGAGGGCTATTGTGGAAATAGGGCAAGAGATGAACTTTGTATTTTTGCACTTTAGAGATGGTTGCCAGGCCTGCTGTCCCTGCTGCAACAGGGACTGTGGTAATGCCTGTGTCACCGTCTGCTTGTGTCAGCACTGAGGAAGATGCAGAACACGTGGCTGGGAGAGCCTGGAAACACCGTTCTGGGTGTCCCTTCCACTAGTTCGGGGTGTTGCTTGGGTCAAAAGTTGCTTTAAGTGTGGACAGCAAACAGCCTTTGCAAGTGGTGTGTGTGAAAGGTGGTGTGACCTTGGACTGTAGCACACGCGGCCTGGGGATGCCTGTAGGCAATTCCATTTTCCTGGAACTAGTAATGGGTCTGCTTTGAAATAAAGGGTGCGGGTCCGTTTGTGCGCTGGCGGAGAGTGCCTTCAGCTTGCCGGTGGGTGGTGCAGCTCAGCCTTTGGCGGTGGAGGTGCCGCCATCGGCCCATGGCCCCGGGGATGGCTGTGGCCGTGGTTGTCCTTCTCCAGGGCAGCCTGTGACCCCGAGCCCTGCCCGAGCCCGCGAACGCCCCGCAGTGCGGGGGGAGCACCCGGCACGGGGGCAGGCCGCGGCCGCGCCGGTGACTACATCTCCCGGCAGCGCCCGCGGCGCACACCCCCTTCGGCTCACTGGCTGAGGCAGCGCTCCAATCCGAAGGCGCCGCCGGGGCTGGCCAGCCAATGGGAAGGCTGTTGCTAACACGCCGAAGTTATTTTTAGCACGGCCGGCGCTCGCGCACCTTGCGGGTCTCTCGTCTCCGCCGCGGCGGGGCTGGCCCTGCTCTGTTGGAGGCGGAGGGACACAGGCGTGCGGAGACAAAATAGTCCGGGAGGCGGGAGCGCATGCCGAGGGCGGGGTCTCCGTCCCCGTCTCGGTGCCGCGCCGCTCCTGTTCTCCCCGCGGTGACACCAGCCCGCCCGGTTTGGCCTTGCCCCGTTGCTCCCCGGGGAGATGCGCTCGCAGTCCCCCGGGCTCCCCGCCCGCATCGGGGACCGGGGATCCCGAGGGGTTCGCAAAGATGGAGGGAGACGGGGTTGCCCGTGGGCACGTCTCCTCGAGCTCCTCCACTGTAGCGGGGCGGGGGGCTCCACCACGGGGTCTTCGCAGACGTGCTTGGGGTGTGCAGAGAATTGTCCCTTGGGGAGTCCCGGGGCTGGCCTAGCCGCTGAGCCGGGGCTCCACCGTCCCCATGGTGCGCGGGGGCGGGGACCACGCCGGCCGGTCCCGTCTCTCCCCGCTCCGTTGGATTCCACTCCATCCCCCCGTCGCCTCAGGCTAAGCCGCTTGGTGAAGTCCTCAGGTCAATCCCCGCTAAGGCCGCGGCCCCTTCATTCCTTCCCTCCTTCCCTTGAGCTCGAATCCGGGATACTCCCGGTGTCCGGGCGGCAGCAGCG